AGGCTCCATCTGTAAGGCTCATAAAGAAGAGAGCCCAAGGAAAGTGCATGCATATTGAGCATTCCCTCATTATCCTCTGCAAAGGACACAGACATGGAAGCTCTTAATGAGTGACAAATATATCTGGTAATATGTATCATTAGAGATGACTCAACAAAGACATAAAAAGAGCTTTGTGTCTGAATACGTGTGTGATTGTTTGCTCGTTCTGCTACCCGGTGCTGTTATCCTCATTAACAGATGGCCCTGACATAAATGAAGTTGTAAGATCTGCTTTTTTAGTAGATCCAAGTCACAGAACCGGCTGCACATCTGAGTAGAAAGGCTACAATAAAAGTGCACAGAAGTGACAAAAGTGTGCTGAATAAGTTCGCCTAGATTTTGTGTGTGTACTTATGCGGCAAGCAGAGGTTGGTAGCATTTTGCCTAACAGTGCACAAGAGTGACTCTCTGTCCTCAAATATCACACCGTTTTTTTTCCTACCAGCCATGATCACCTGTCCCTGTATCCATCTTTCCCTGTGCCTCCTGGAGCTTCAACTCAAACTCCAAACACTGCTGATTACTGCATGTATAAACGTCAAGAACAGCAAATCTTCTGACAGACACACCCAGGAATGGTGGATGTCTAAAAATGCTGCTTCCTCCTGATGGGTGATGTGACAAAATGACATTACAAACTCCAAGGAAACGGGAGCTTGATACTATTATTCTTAATCATATTATTACAGATAAGTAATTGATCTCATTGTGTAAAGAAGCATAGCATATAAAAAGCTTATTTAAAACTAATATGCATCAAAACCAAAACAGGAACGACTTGGAGGTGGAATATCAGTAGAGAAAAAAGGAGGAAAAAATCCTTTGCACCTGCAGCTCTCAGCTGTGGTGAGCATATTCTGAAACATTGCTCCACCTGGAGAGACTGTGCAGCATTCCATTTGGAAGACAGGGATTTACAATGAAGGTGGGGGCTGCTGCGCTGGTGGTGTCCATGTGTGCTCTGGCACAGCGGCAGAGGGGTAAGTGGAGCGGCGTGGTACCAGCTGCAACAGTGTGGCTGGGAATACACACTAAGCTGCCAATTGTGTGCCATCATAGCAAAATATGCTCAGAGAGACGTCTACTGTAGTAGGACCCTCAGTGAGGCTGTTTCAGCTGGTGTTTCTAGATCAGTCTGAGTCTACGTGTTACATATGCTATTAATATTACAGGAAAAAAGGAAGGTTATCTGGATTGGTGCCTTACGGTATTAAAATGATCGTTTTAAACTGTTTCAGAACAAATGAAAAAGAGAAAACAAATAAATGAAACACAAAAAAGTCTATTAACCACAAAAAGAAAACAGGGATGGAGAGATCTATTTTACACTTAAAAAGCTTTATTCATACTTTCTGCCCAACATGAAAAGTAAAAGCAGGAATGGGTTTGAAAATAATGATAACATTGATACATTTTGAGATGTTATATATGCATAAAGAAGTTTTTTTTGTCTCCACAAATGTACAATAACGCAATTGCAATTTTTCTGTAAAATGGAATAGAAAAGGGGTATAACTGTGATATACTGGCAGTTGCATTTTAGAAGAGTTTATTGTCGTGATCTGGCCTGATAGCTCACCTTCATTTTTCATGACATTCACCTGCTTAATTTTGTCCGGCTCCTAATCAGTCACTCATCTCATCCACCTGCTGGTTCTTCTTTATATTGGGCTCAGTTCCAGCTATCGGGGCCAGATCATTATTTGTTTGCTGTTAGATGTTTTTAGGTTCTGTTTTCATATGTTTTAGTTAGTCCAAGGTTCATGTCCCTGTTCCAGCGAGGAGATTATTCTGGAGCCAGTTTCTTCAGGAGAGTTTATTCCAAAACCAGTGGTGAAAATGTTTCAGCATTTCCCTAGTGATTCTGATCCCCTGATTCTGTTCCCTCTCTTCCTGGCCCTGTCTGTCCCCGTCTAATCTGTTCGTCTGAACCACCTTTGGACTCCTGCTGGATTTTGCCTGTCTGTGTCTGTGTATTTTTTTTCTGTCTGAACTGGTTGCTCTGAACCTGCCTTCACGCTCTGAGGATTCCTGGAAGCTTGGATTCCTCTGTTTCCTGTTTGGGTCAGAATCTCTGATCGTGCAGAGAACTCCTGACTCCCTGAACTGTTCCTGCCTGATCTGTTCTCCCCTGTTTTGGATCGGCTTCCCGCAGCATCGGGGACACTTTGGGCGGCTCAGGGCTGCATGTCGTTGGCAGTGCATCGGCTGATCTTGCCAATCATTGAGAGGATGGACTGAACCGTTAAACCAGAGTGTCAGTGATTGGGCGGTGCCCAGTCCCCCTCCTGCAGCCGCAGCAGTCCTCAGTGCTGTGCTTCTGTTCTGTTTTATTTTAATAAACGTTTTGAACTTTCCGACTGACTGTCTCACCTCGAATACTGGGTCCGTTTGTCCCGTTTTCTGACACTGATACTGTAACAGCAGTTACATCAGAAACATTATTGTTCCATGATTTCACAAAAAAAGGATTGTTTTATCATTAATTCATATCCAGAAAGCACTTATGTTTCCCAAAAAAGTGACTTTACACTGTTAACTTTAGGAGTTGTTTAGACAGACCGGAAGCTGTAGCAACCAGTACCTTCTCTTCCTCATTGTTCTCTTATTGATTCTTACTTTTAAAGTCCCTTCCTTTCCATGTGTTTTCCTGCACCCCAAACCGAATTAGGGAAGTGGAGTGTTTCATTTTTGTTTTTGTCTTCCTTCACAAGGAAGAACAAAATTAAATTAGAATCAGAATCAACTCCACTGGCAAACAAGAGCTTTGTCTTCAGTTTCCATCTTTCACATCATATTAATATCAGTAGAATATGTAAAAGACATTAGAGGAAATGAAGTAAGGATGAGCTGCACAGATTGGAGATTTGATTAAATTAGATTTCGATGCACTACTAAACCATGCAACACGATCATGCAAGCGGCACTTGAGAACATGATAAAGACCACACTGAAAGACGGATTTGGAGAGGCAGATTAAGTATGCGTTAACCCTGACTTGAAAAATCTACATGTTTTGCTGTGGAAAGTGATTCCCTAGAAGGTATCATGTTGTGGAAAAGACAACCTCCTTTGAGCCCACACAAAATATGGCAAAGATTTATGTTCCTGTGATTCTACACGGAGGGACAACAGATTTGCAATTTAAGTGTGCTCCATGAGTCAAGTAGAATAAATCTGTGTGCATGTTGGCTATAAATGTGTACAATAAAACTGAAAAGCTAAATAAATATCCACATCCACTAAGCCGGGTCTTATTTAAAGCATGATTCACCTATTTATCATTCATATTCTGAGAATGAAAAATACATAACCAGGAGACAGATTTGTGAGGAGAAAATATGTCCTTGGACATGAGCAAACAAGGATGACAGGACACCTGTTTAACCATCGAAAAATCATTAAAGGTGAACGTCCACAGACAGGATTGTCCATTTTGGCTTATTTCTTAGACAATTAACCAGACTTTTACTTATAATTCCCAAATCTGTATCTGCTTAAAATAAATCATCCCCATACTATGTGTGTAGGTAGAGTGTGGTGTGTTAATGTGGGCATGTGAGTAAAAGAGGGAATGCTCTCATTAATAAAACAGGGAGTTGAATAATTTCTTCCAAGCTGCTATTAGTCTAAATCACGATTAAAACAGATCACAGGACCGAACAACAGCGGCAGAAAAATGAAACAAATCTTTATCCAATTAAAAATGAATAACACTCAGCAAGAAGTGTGCCCTAAACCTACACAGGTCAAAGCAGAACCGCCAAATGAGCGTCGCTGTCTGCTGTCTCTCAGTGCAATCAGATAAACGGAGGATTGAGAGGATAATAGAGGAGAGAGAGAAAGACACAGCACAACAATCCGGAGTTTACCAAATTAGCTGCTATCCTGCCACGCTTCAGGGGCTCCCCCACAGTGCATGAATTAAAAAAAAAGAAATATATAGAGAAATTAGCTGCTGCTTCAATTTCTACCGGCTACTGCTGCTGAAAAAGAAAGTAAAAAAGATGTAACCACCTGAGTAATGGACTTTGAATACCTAACTGATCATTTATAAGGATCTTTGCTCCACTTAGTAAAGAAAGAAAGAAAGAAAGAAAGAAAGAAAGAAAGAAAGAAAGAAAGAAAGAAAGAAAGAAAGAAAGAAAGAAAGAAAGAAAGAAAGAAAGAAAGAAAGAAAGAAAGAAAGAAAGAAAGAGATATGTAAACCATGTCAAAAACCATATCAGTCTGGGAAGGGGGGGATCATATGTATCTGCTTCCCCTCTTTTAGAGCCAATGCACAGTTTAGTGACGATGAGGATGTTAAAGCTGAAAAAAGACCAACAATGTGATTCTGTAACCTGAGTGTTTCTAATATTTCTTCAGAGACCTGCTGGCAGAACAGCTTTTCCTGAGCAGCTTAAAGTCCGATCAAACATGCTCCATCATCTGCTTTTATGAAATATCTCCAGAGAGCATGAGACTGAGCGACATAGAGAGGGAGACAGAATAACAGAGCAGGGTGGCCTCCCTCCTCTCCTCTCCTCTGCTCCTCTGCTCCTTCCTTCACACTCACACCCTCGCAGACCCAAAGAACCGCTCAAGCTGGAGGCTGAGCGGAATGTAGATGCGGCTGGAGACAAGAGCAGAAGCCGTGATTTGCACACAGACATTAGGAACAGCCTGCACTCTTTGCCCAGTCCCCCTTTTCCTCTCTAGTCTGTTTTATGTCCTCTCTCTCTTTTTTGTTGAAATGTGAGGCTTTCCTGAAAGTGAGTGGAACGCAGAGTATTGCCAAAGCCGACACTGTTCACCCCAAACTCGGTGGCTGAGCTGACAGCTGTGCAGATGAACTCTGACTGCACGCGGACGGTCTGACGGACGCTGGAACAGACGCAAAACTTAACAGACCTCAGCAGCGCTGATAACATCAAAGAGAAGCCGGGGAGACGCGCGCGCGCATCTTTCTGTCCTACCTGCTGGAGGAGAAAAGTCAGAAGGAAGCAGAGTCTAGCGTCCATGCTCGGTTCGGGTCGTTTCGGTGGGGGAAACACAGAATGATTCAAGGCAGGGTGTTAGAGGCTGGGTCAGCCCTGCTCATAATTCCTCTGTCCGGCGGTCAGAAGGTCGGGGGGGAGAGAAGAGGCTTTTGCTGCGAACAGCCAGCAACTTCCCACAAATAGGCAACAACTGCAGTCTGATGGCAAAGCGCTGGATGTGAAGGCGAGACTACGACCAACGGATTTATGAGAAGGACAGGGAGAGAGAGAGGGGAGAGATAGAGAGAGAGGAGGGGGGGCTCCTTCCTATATGAGGGTCAGCGTCTTCATTTTCAGTACGTCTGGAGGGCAGACACGTTCTCAACTTTCTGAATGATCTGCGGCAGGTTTGGTGTTAATTGATCAGTCCAAGATATTGACTCTGTTCTAAAGCAAATGATTCTCATGATATCCTGATGTAGCCTTTGTTCCTATAGATTATGTAGGTGAGCAGAACAAAGCCTGAGAGGCATCCTGAGTATTCCTATTTATATTAACCTGAGGATGTTAATCTGCATAAGACTCGGAACCACTTGAAATAATTTTGAAAAACATGAATCATGAGTTGTCTCCTGAAAAACTTATTTCAAATAATTTGACAACATTTTGACATTTTTTATGGCTCAAGTCACTTCTAAATACTTACAAATCCCTATATATATAGATATAATACACACATAAAAACACAACCCTGACCCCTAAAACCTCATCAACTTTGACTGGAATATATGCTTAAAGGAATAGTACACCCAAAACATGATTAGCCTTCATTTTCTACTCACCCCCATGCTGAACAACACTCTGGAGTACTTTTTTGATATCTCAAATGCATCTGGAGATCTGGGAGGCTTCTTGCTGTCTGCTGACATTCAAATAATGGAGGTCTATTTTGCCCGAGGCAGAAAGGTCCATAAAAGTCCACAAAAAACGTGTCAATATTCCTCCATACTGCTCGTCCAATGTATTCCAAGTGTCCTGAGTGGGTAGCATCCAGAATTTACTCGCAACGAAGTCATTTAGAATGTTTTTAGAGCATAAACAGTAGTGTATACGACTTCCTGAAAACGCGAACATGCGCGTTCACGACGCTACGGAAGCCGGCAGACCAAACCAGATGAAAGTGCGCATTCAGCGTCTGCTCTGCCAATAATGCCGGCGTAGAAGAAGAAATGTGCTGTTTACCTGTGCAAAGAAAGAAACAACGAAAGAAAAATGTCTGAGGACTTCAGTGTTGAGGAAGAGCATGAGTTCTTTGCCGAGCTGAATGCGCTGGTTTGGTCTGCCGGCTTCCGTAGCGTCGTGATCGCGCATGTGCGCGCTTTCAGGAAATCCTATACACTACTGTTTATGCTCTAAAAACATTCTAAATGACTTCGTTTCGAGTAAATTCTGGATGCTACCCACTCAGGAAACTTGGAATACATTGGACGAGCAGTATGGAGGAATATTGACACGTTTTTTGTGGACTTTTATGGACCTTTCTGCCTCGGGCGCCATGGACCTCATTATTTGAATGTCAGCAGACAGCAAGAAGCCTCCCAGATCTCCAGATGCCTTTGAGACATCAAAAAAGTACTCCAGAGTGTTGTTCAGCATGGGGGTGAGTAGAAAATGAAGGCTAATCATGTTTTGGGTGTACTATTCCTTTAAATTATATCCCTAATCCAAAGAGGTTCAACTCATCACTCCACCCTTTGCAGCTAAACAAATTCAAGTCTTCTTAAAAAGCTTTCCACAAGATTTAGGAGTGTGTTTATGGGATTTTTTGACCATTCTTTCGGAAATCCGTATGTGAGGTCACACACAGATGTTGGAGGAGAAGGCTCTCAATCTCCGCTCTAATTTATCTTTAATTAATCGTTAAGATATTCTTTCGGTTTGAGGTCATGACTATGTGCAGGCCAGTCAAGTTCATCTACACCAGACTCTACCATCCATGTCTTCATAGACTTTGCTTTGTGCACTGGTGCACAGTCATGTTGGAAGAGGAAGGGGCCAACTCCAAACTGTTCCCACAAACTTGGGAGCATGGGATTTTCCCAAATGAATAACTAAGGGGCCAGGTCTAGTTCCTGAAAAACAATGACATGGAAGCCCATTCCATGAAGCTCTCTGCTCAGTGTTCTTGAGCTAATCTGAAGGCAACATGCAGTTTGGAGGTCTGTAGTGATTGAGTCTGATAAAGTTGACAACCTCTTAACACTATGTGCTTCATCATCCTCACATGCCGCTCCGTCAGTTTATGTAGCCTGCCATCCCCTGGCTGAGTCGGATTTGTTCCCAAAATTTTTGATTTTCTTTAGAAAGCTTTTTGCGCCCTAGGGCAGAATTACGTGACCAATCCAACAAAAAAGGAAACAGCTTTAGTCGTCATTAAAGATTAAGTATTTATCTTTTTACAAAGTATATATATCAATACATTTCGAAATATATTAATTTTGTAATTGAATTTAAATTTATGTCTTAATCAAGGTCATTGGGTGGGAGGGGTTGCGCCCTAGCACCCTCTATTGGCCAGCCGTCACTGAGAGAAATATATATATATATATATGAATGTCCCCCTGCCTTCTCTGTCAGATGTTCAGTTACTCCTCTAACTTATTTGGCAATAATGGCAGATGTAATAAATGTAGTATTTTTGTATCTTTAGAGGCGAGGGTGTCAGAGCTAGAGTCCTAGCTTCAGGTCGTTGGATATCCCAGGAGTTAGACAGAGTAGTTCATGAAAAGGTAAAAACCTGAAAAAGATTGATAAAGGTGTGGTTTTAAAGCATGGTTCTAAAGCTTTGCCCACCAACCCGTCCATCCTTCGAACCAACAATCTCCACAGCCAGAGCGGGCAAAATTAAATCATACTTGAAATTGCTGGCTTAAATATGGTGATATTGATATTGAATGGTGATACTGAATGAGTCCAAAGGCCACTCTAAGGTTAGTGCATACAAACAGATATTTCAGTATAAAAGTACAATTTAAGAATTGAAATTGGATGTAACGACTGGAATGAAATACCTTATGTTGACCCCTTTTAAAAGTTACCACCGGGCTTTATTTCATTAAAAAGCCCACAATCAGACCCAATGTACCCCACATCCAAGGCCTACTTTTTTGTTGATCAAGCTTATATATATTTGCCACACAGATTCGGACCGATCAGCAGAAGAGAAGGTAGTATTTTGAAGACTGTAAAAGATTAGCTTGCACCAACATGCAGAAGTTCCTGGAGTGCCATGATGTAATGGATGAAGGGGTTATCATTAGGATCCACATTCTAACCACCTCAGTTCACTGCGCCATCCGATGAAACTAGATTCACCCTGACCACGGCACTCTGGAGGGGCACTGTGACTAGATGACTCTGAAGTGACTCACCCTAAACCGTACAGACCAGCTGGCTGCTGGGTTTTGCTGCCAAAATGTGAGTTTCTGGAGACCCGCTGGGTCCATCACGGAAAAATACCCCAAAGATAGTAGTCTACTGGGCTGCTTTCAAGACTCCAGAAGAAAAACAGTGTAGGAAAACCAAGTTTAATAAGCTGCATGCCTTTGTCTGGAACATCTATATCACCTGCACCAACCAGAACTACAATGCACTTTCTCTTATGTTCCATGATATTTTTACCCAAACACATTTTGCCTCCCAAGTAATAGAATACGAGGCATGTCTGAACAAATATTTCCCATGAATACCTGCCACCGGTCTCCTCGCTTACTTCCATTTCCCTGAAGTGGTTACCCGATCGCCAGATGGATTAAAAGGTCCTAATTACTCTAGTTTTTATGTTCAACGTGTCCCTACCCCTGATGGACTGTTGGCGGTCCCAAAGACTGACTTTGCAGCAAATAATAGTTGCATAGTTGAAAGGATTTTTAACAACGTAATGAATGGATTAATGCAACCTGGTGCAGACAAGTAACACCCTATTTCGCCACCTGGAAACATGACTGTACCAAACTAAACAGTCTACCACCTGCCAAGCTGGTGTTACCTGCAATGGTGGAGAACACCTATCGCAACCCAACATTTGCATGGTGGGGAACGGAGGAATATGTGGCAGTGTATTATCCAGGGGGTTCGATGTTGAAGTACAGTTCTGTTAAATTAAGTAAAGTGTAGATGTCTTTACTCCTCACATTAATCAGAGCCAAGGCTAGGTGGACAGCTACTGACAGTCTAACTTAGAAGGCCATTTGCTGAAAGGGTGGGTCAAAATAATAGATTTTTCTACAGACCACACTGACTTTCATTTCTAGCGTTGGCAACATCTTATAAAATGAAGTTCATTTTCCTTAGCCAACAAGACTCCATCAGCAGCAATATGTTGAAACATTTATTAAATAACTAACTAGAATTTGTAATTTGAATCTTTGGCAGCTCAATAACATTTTTCCTGGGCTTGGAGGTAAGAAGTCAGTGACCAGCTCTGGCAGACTAGACGAGTTGCAGATTGAAGGGGCCAGTAAGAGGGCAACCTGGACAGGCAAGAGTGAGAGTGACACAGACAGAGGTTGGCTGGGTGTTGAGACAGTGTGTGGCCTTAAAGAATGTGAAGGTTGGAAAGAGAGTGCTAGTTCTGGAACCGAAGAGAAAGCTGAATAGAAGAAACCCAAGGGTCACTCCAGTTGCACTTGTGCTCAGAGTTTTACCTTCCAGGTATGCAATATAGTGATACAGTGTAATGAGAGGCCAACAACAAAATTACTGCATCTTACCCATAGAAAAGCTTCAGGTCTGATTGGGGATTAGTAGATGACTGAAGTTCCATGTCTGGAAATATAAGAACAACTTTTTACATTGTTCCTTCTTCTACACTTAAAAAAAAAAAAAAACACATGCACAATCCTATACCCATTCCCGGTAGGGAACGTTTATTAAACGCATGTGAGAGCATGTACAAGCCCATGCATGCTCTGTTTAAAAGTTGTTGTTTGCATTGCTCATACAAGCTTACTTTTCAAAAGAAGATTAGCAATTTTTCCACTATGTCAGACTCTCCAACCGTTTGTGAAAACGAGCACCTAGGACGGCTTTATGTAAACACATCACCAGAATGATTGACAATTAGGAGGACCACTTATTTTGATGTTTCAATTGGAAAAAGAACATCTTTCATTATATATTTATGATAGAAAGAGTTATGAAAGGATTTATTTGTTGCCTAGGGGCACTCGACGACAAGAGTGTTGTATAAATGTTTAAGATCTAGA